CGCAACTGGTGCTTGAGTGCCCGCAGCACGGCCCTAGCCTCGAGAAGGGGCATGTGCTCGGACTTCCACCAGCAACCAACAAAAAACGACCCTCCACTCTCCCTTCATGAGCTCGGGACTGATTTCCTTGAAATCTGAGGACGGGGTGCTGGTGTCTGGCCATTGGTTGTCCTTCTCTTGCGAGCGCAGCTTGCTCCGCTGCAGCTCGCAATGCGAACGGGCGCGGGCGCCGAGCTCCCCACCCTTAGAGAAGCGTCAGCGCTCGCGCGCCCGCCCGGCAGCCGCGATGAGCGGAGCCCCCCGTTCTCCTTCCACCGCGCTGCGACCCCAAGGAGACGCGTCGCCGACGCGAGCCGCGTCCGACCACGCCGCCCCAAGGTTGCGACGCAACAGAGGAAGTGCAGAGGGCGCCCGTCGCGACTCCCTCCTGGCGGCAGGCCGGAGCGTCACCTCGTGGTCCCTGTGCTGGCCGATGAAGGCGTGCGCGGTCCCGATCGCGGCGAGGAGCTCTCGCCTCAGGAGGCCGACGAAGGCGGGGTGGCCGACGATGATCTCAATGGCGCGACCCGACGCGCGAGGGCGCCGCAGCAGCTCCCGAATGCCCAGACGAAGCCTTCAGAGACGTAGCTGGCTGGGCCCGACCAGGCTGTCGTCGGCGGCGAAGTCCCGCCCGAGCGACTGGCCGCCCAGGCTGACCTCGACGCTGTGCGTGGGAAGCCCATTCTCGCGGAACAACCTGTTCGCGCGCTGGGCCGCGGAGGCCGCGGGCTTCTCCGGGGTGGAGTAGGCCGCGAAGTTGTCGACGTAAACAGTGTGCGCCAGCGGCCGCGTGGGAGGCGCCCCCGCTCCATCCCTCATCGTGTTGGCGGCGGAGATCCCCTCGGGCTTGGTCACCGTGGCCTTGCGTGCCATCTGGCGCGCCATGGCGGCCTGGTTCCATCGCATGGGCGCCGCCGCAGGCGGGGGGGGGCCAGGCCGCCCCCATCGAGCTCCCCGTCGACGGCCTCAGACGCGCCAACATCCTGAGCGCGAAGCCGAGGAAGAGCGAAATGCCCACATAACTCCGCCGGCAGCTCGAGTGAAGAAACAATTCGCGATGTCAACTCCCCAGAGCCAGAGCGGCGCTCCCGCGTCCATCTCCAGCGTCGCGAACCTCTGGCCCGTCGCCAGCTTCACGTCGCGGGGGTTGGCGAAGTGCGCGGTGGGCCTCCTCGCGTCAATGATCATTCTCTGCATGCCGTCCTTCCAGTGGACCGCAAAAACGCCCGCGCCCTCAACGCAGTGCTTCCTGTGTTCGATGAGACTGCGCGCCTCAAGCCGCTTCGCCAAATTGCAGCGCTGGCGGCGATTGCGAAGACGCGGGTCCGAACAAAAAAACCTTCCTCGCACCCGAATCTAACTTGCGCTGCTCCACCGTCTCTTTTGGCGAGAGCTTCTCATTGAGAACCCTCCGCGCCGGCAGTCGCATGCAGATCCGAAAGAGGGGCGGCGCGGCGCCCTCGTTCTGGAAGCGCCAGTCGGTCAACATCAAGGCGGGACAGGGTGGCGCACTCGCCGTCATAACCCCGGCGGGCCAGAAGCGCTCGCAAGGCTTCCTGGCCTGTCAGCCCAAGAAGGGGGCACTCCGCCTCTCGGGCACATGATAGCGGACGGTCGAGAACCTGCTGCTGCCCCTCGGGCGCAGACGCCCCCGACCCGCCGCCGCTGTGCGGCCCGGCGCCCATCTCGTTGAGCGATCTCACCACGTGGCTCGCCCACTCCAACCCGCGCTGATGGGCGCGGAGGCGCTGGCGAGACCGTCGGGGCAGAGGCGGTCGGCAAGTCGACGAAAAATCGGCAACTTCCCGGAACGCGTCGGGCAAAAGGAACAGGTTACGCTGCCTGCCGCCCCCAGGAGTCGGGCCAAAACTGTGAGGTTCCCCTGCGCCAGGAGCCACGGGGAAGGCAGGCATGCCCCCCTGCCTGGGCGCCCGACCAAGCAGAAAGCCTGGTCGGGCAGTCGTCTCGTAGGGCAACTTGGCGGCCGCGGCCCGCCACTCGCGGGCCTTGCGGACTTGTTTGAACACGCTTGCGTCGCACTCCACCTCCTTTGACGCGTAGTCCAGGAGCTCGGGGGCCACCACGATGCCCCCAGACTCCTTGTACCACGCCATGAAGATCTGGGGCTCGTCGTAGAGCCCCGCGCGCATCAGGCCTCCGCGGCCCTTGCCCTTGTTGCTCTTCTTGTCTTTGCTGCCGTCCGTGCTGTCGCCGTCGACCTTGCCGCCGCCGCCCGTCTCCGAGTAGCTATACTCGATGAGCTGCGCCTTCCTCAGCATCAGCTCGAAGGCCCCCAAACTTACTATGTCCATCCCGTCGTCCGTGAAGGCCAGGTCAGTGGCCTGCGTGATCATGCAGTGTTCACCCGCGCCCCAATTGTCTGTCTTCAGCGCTTGCGTGTGGGTCCAGAAGCGGTGGCGGTCGATGGCGCCGCCGTTTCGGCGGTTGATGAACTTCAAGCACCATGGCGCGGTGCGTGGGCCAGGGACAAGGAAATCCACGAAACTGAACCCCTTGATCCCCTCCACAGCGGTCCGAAAGAAGGTCTTCACCTGCTGGCCCCCGTTGGTGGTGATGTCCATCAGGCGTGCATCTCCTGAGGCCTCGGCGCCTGCGAACTCGATCTCCCCGCCTGGAGGCACAAGGGCTAGCGATATCCACTCAGCTGGAACCCCATGTGACTGCATCGCACGGGGCCCCTGCACCGCGGCCTGCGGCGAGAGGGCGACGAGGTCACTGCGACGCAGGCTAGCCCTCGACTCCACGGCCAGCCAGCTTCCAGTGCCCACAGGTTGGGCGCCACCCCCGACAGGCCCGGCGGCGGCCCCCCCCGGCGCAGCCGCAGGAGCAGTAGCGGCCGCGGCCAGGCTCGGCGGCCAGTGTCGTGCCGAGCTGGGCGGCGTGTGCCGAGGCACTCGCGGTCCAGCCCGCCAGCTCGGCCGCGGCGGGCTCCGTCGCGAGGCGGTGGCGCGCGCCCCGAAGCGCGCAAGGGGGGCGCCACGCTGGCTGGCGAAGCGGATCCCAGCGATGTCGACGTTCGTGGGGCCGAAGTCTTCGTCGTGCACCTGAGCATCGGGAGTGGCCACGAGGTGCCTAGCCACCGATGACACCAGCGCTCCAAGCAGCAAGCGTTGATGCCAAAGAGCCTACGTCGTCGCGTGCGATACGTAGGCCCAAGCCACCGTTGGCGGCCCGACTGGGGCCAGCCCGCGCAGGGGGCCCAGCGGCAGAGCTGCTGCCGTGGCTCCATCCCCCGCGGTAGCCATGGCTGAGGATGCTGACCGAGAGGATCATCAGGCTCGCGGCCACGAGCAGCCAAGTCCAGCCCCACAGCCGACCGTACTCCGCCAGCGCCTCCGAACTCACCGCCGCGCAGCTCGGCTCGGGTAGAGGCGGCGCGCCAGGACACGCCGGCACCGACGGGCACGACGGGCAGGCGGGGCAAGGAGGAACGGCTGGGCAGCGACCAGCCGAGGCTATGGCAGCGGTACCGATGGAGCGGACAACCTCGTAGGCTAGGTTGACGCCGAAATCCATGCCCCGCCAGGGGCCCTCGCTGTGAACCCCAGAGATGACTACAGAAGCGTTCTGACGCTTAGCGGTGATCGGGTCCACTACATGATTCACGTGCAAGCACTTACATACCTATGTCTCTCTCTCTCTCTCTCTATATATATATATATATATACATGTGTGTGTATATATATATAGGTGTGTGTTCGTATATACGTATCTCCTCCCTTGAGGTTGGGTCGCGGGGTGGGTCGCGTGTGGGTCGCGGGGTGGGTCGCGGGTGGGTCGCGGATGGGTCGCGGGTGGGTCGCGGGTTGGGTCGCGGGTGGGTCGCGGGTGGGTCGTGGGGTGGGTCGTGGGTGGGTCGCGGGGTGGGTCGCGGGTGGGTCGCGTGTTGGGTCGCGGGTGGGTCGCGGGGTGAGTCGCGGGGTGGGTCGCGGGGTGGGTTGCGGGGTGGGTCGCGGGTGGGTCGCGGGTGGGACGACGGCAACAAACACATAACATCAAACAACAACAACAGCAACGACAACAACAAACAACCACAACAACAACCAACAACACCACCAACAACAACACCACCACCACCAACAACAACGCAACAATAAGAACTCCCACCACAAATTCCCTCTTCAGCCACGCACCCAGTGACAATGAATGACCTTTCGGCCCCCTTTCACTCTTACGGGCATCTTCATATATGATGTTACACCTACGGCTATCATTGTACAGCATGCGTGCGCATTGCATGTTTATACGAATTCATGTAAGTTTGCATCGGGACATTTCTGGTGCTTCAAAGCGGTGCTCCCGCTGCAGCGTTGGCCTCATTTCAGGATCTGCGCCTCGCCCCCGTCGTTCAGAATGGCGCTCTCACGCTGGCGCGGGCCACGTTTTTGGGTCCGAGTGTCTCCTCGTCGTTGTCGTCCCACTCTTCTCTCCTCCTCCGCCTTCCCCCGGCTCCTTCCGCTCCTGCCGCCGCTGTTCCTCCTGGTCCTCCTCCTTCCTCCTCCTCCTCCTCCTTCTCCTCCTCCTCCTCCTCCTCCTCCTCCCTTCTCCGCCAAATCCTCCTCCTTCTCCTCCTCCTCCTCCTCCTCATCCGCCACATCCTCCTCCAATGTGCACACGCTGCGCATGACACAATGTGGGTTCTTTTGGGCGTTCCAGGTCCGTGGCGCCCATCGACGAGTAGAGGCACCACCAGCGCAACGGAAAGGGACGGGTGGGAGGGGAGGATGTCAGGTACGCGCCTAGCTTGGCTCCCCTCCGTCTTCTCTCTGGTCCTCCTCGTCATCCTCCGCATCTCCCGTCTTCCTTTTCTCCTCCCTCCCTCCTTCCTCCCTCCTCCCTCCTCCTCGTCCCTCCTATCTCGCCCCTCCCCCAGGTAGGAGGGGGGTGGGTGGGGGGGGGGGAAGATCGGACTGGTGGGTGGGGTGGGGCTCTGCGGGATCCTCAGCACGTGGATGTCTGCGGGCTTGGGCCAAAATGGCTAAGGAGTGCGAAGCGCAGACGACGATGGCTGACGATGCCGGCCGTGATGGCTGACGACGATAACTGCCATCGCGGCCGCCGAAGACGTCGTGTCCACTCCATTTGCTGGTGTCAGTGCGCACGTACGCCATGAGCTTTCACACCGCCTCCACGAGCATCGTCACCGTTGTTGCTCCCGCTGCCTCTGGGACTGCTGGGTGCTCTCGCGGGCCAAAGAGGGTCCCGTTGGGGATGTAGGCGACAAGCCCGTCGAACGTTTTCCCCCAAACACCCGTCAGCTCAATCGGCCAACCCCCGTTGGGAGTGGCGGGGGGGCAGGGGGAGTAGGAAGGGAGTGGGGGAAGGGAGGGGAATTCTGCGGATATTGAACGATATCATCCCTATCGCTGCAGCAAAGGAGGGGCGCGTTGGGGAGTGCCCTCCGCACTGCCGCTGACAAGATGACCACTCTTGTCAGCCCGCAGGAGAGCACCCTTTCAGACAGGCAGACGGGAGCACCACTCAGTCGCAATCCTTGGACTGCATGCCCACTCGCCAGATCTCGCAACCCGCTTGGAAAAAGCGTACCTCTGTGCACCTCGAGCGCCAAAAGCACGGAGGGCCCCGACTCCCTCCGTGCGCGTGTCGCCGCTCATTGGCTCTAGTGACAGCACACGGGGCTCCTTGATGTGGGTTGGGGGGGTGGGCCGGGGACGGGACGAGCAGGGGGATGGATGGGGGGAGGAAGGGGGGCTGCTGCACAAAGTCCGAACGTGGGCCCTCTGGCGCGCGGAGGTCGCGGAGAGCGAAGTCAGGCAGGAATGGAAGCAGGAGTCAGGCTAGCCAGGTCGAACGGGTCAGCGGGCCCCGCCCGTGCCCACCCTCCCTCCCATAACATAAGTGAAGGGGCCCTGGGACACACACATCAATACACACAAATGAAAGGATTCACCTTTTTTTCATTTTTGATTTTTTTATTTTCGTCTTCCCCCCCACTTCCCATATTTTCCATTTTTTGTTGGAAATCGACGATGAATTGTGTCTGTGTTTTTCACCCTCCTGAACAAGAACCATATGTGGCACAGCTTGATATTGGGGCTGGAGCGCGTTTCCACCCAGGGGGCGAAAGGTCGCGTGCGGCCCCGCTTCAGACGACGTGGCGAAGGAACAACTACGGACCGCGCACGGGCCAGAGCGAAACCTCAGAAAAGCCCTGCGCTGCGCTGCGGCGAGAGCACCATTCAGTCCGTTCTCGCGCGGCCGAGTCTTCGATGAGAACGGCGACGAAGAATCATGCGCCACGCCAACACAACCCTGCCGATCAGCCCGGCGCTTGGGCGCTCTTGCGCAGCCCTGGTGCCGCTGCCACTTTCATGCGGCGAGGGAAACACGTGCCGCGCCCGCGCGGGAACGCCACCTCCAGGTGAGATTCTCACGAAGCCAGGCGAGGGCGACAAGTCGCCCTCGCTCGCTCACAACGGCTCGGCGAGCGACAAACATGCGCCGCGCCGCGGCGGCAACGCCACTTTCACAAGCGAAACCTGCGCAGTGCCGAAGAGAGAGCGACAGGTCGTTTGCTCGTGCGCCTACGAATTGTACGCTCCACCAAGGCCGCCCCACCGTGGAGCACCTGCGCGCGCTCCTACACCCCCCAGCCGGCCGCTCCGGTAAGTTCCGGGACGCGCTCGAGGGCCCCGGCGTACAGCCGCTCAGCACCACCTGGGCCACCAACACCCCGGCCCTTCTGCTCTTGCTGGTACGCGAGCCCAAACCGCTCTTGGCCCCCTACGCCAAACCTGGCCCCATCGGCGACGTCTTCGAGGCAGCCCTGGGATTCTGTGACCCTTTCAACAAAGCCTGGCTACCTGTCCAGGATACGTTCGGCAAGGTGCACGGCATCACGACTCAGGACTTTCGGGCAGTTCACGGCCACATCGAGGCCTTCATCCAATTCACCTGGGAACCGTGGCCCACCACCGCGACGTCGCCAAGGAGCAGGAGTGCGCCACTATCTGGAAAGGGATGCTGGCACACGACTTCCCCCTTGCAGGGCCCCTCCTGGTACTGGAACAACTCACAGTGCCCACGGACCTGTCAACGCTGGAGAACGAGGTGTGTGCCGTGTGCGCCCTCTCACAGGACCTGGCAGGCTCAGACGTGGGCCTTTTTCCCTCGTCCCAAGTCCACACCCAGGCCGCCGGCGCCCTCCCTGGGGTTCCTCTTGACCCGCCCTACGTGCACCCAGAGGACACCAGGTTTCGACAGAGCCACGAAGGAGCCAGGCTATGGCGCGACGGGGAGGGCTGCCTCCGAGAACCCTTCGACGCCGATGGCGGTGCCTGGATCAACCCAGACATTCGCAGCACCATAGCAGGCAGCCGCAAGGCGGCCTACAAGGCGGGCGCATGCTGCCGATGATACTGCACCACATGCTGGAAGGCCGGCTACGAGGCACCGCGGGGAATCAATCTCCGACGACGTGACGCTGGCGAAGTTGTTCGTGCGACCTGGACGAGCAACGCCTCCCTGGACCAGGCGCGCAGCTGCAGCGAGCCCTGCCAGCAGGAAGGCAGGTCGCCCTCCCCGACGCCAACGCACCCCAGGATCAGCTTCTCTTGCAACAGGAGGGGCAGCACAGCCCAGCAGCAGTGTCTTCCACTATCCAGGCCAAGCGCACTGGCGACGACAGGCTGGGGCAGCAGGCCAGCAAAGACGAGTGGAAAAGCAAGAGCGGCCGCTGCCCAGCAACCACTCCACTCTTCCAGTGGCAGGCAGGCCAGCGACCGCTGGGGATGCTCATCTTCCGCCCTGACCAGGCGACCCACGACGCCCGCCCGCTGACATGCGGCCTGCCACCCTTCGACGACTGGGTGCAGGAGTTCCAGTCCATGCGCTGGAACGCCAGGTGGTACTGCGAGCGGTGCCTGGTCGACCTCTAGAACGCCCGGCCCTCGGACGTGGCTGAGATCCTGCCCGGGGATGGCAGCCGGGTCTACCCAGCTACCCTGCCAAAACGACTCAGGCCGCCCGCGCCCCTGGTGCCCAAGGGTAACCCGCTCCTGGACAAACGCGAGGCCCCAGCGCGGAGCATCTACCTCCTCGCAGATACGCGTGACTAAAAGAGGATGGAAGGGGCGCTGAGTCTGGAGTTGGACCCACTGGGCGTCTTCCGCAGCAACAGCGAGAAGGGCGCGCAGGAGGACGCCCCCCCAGCAGGGCCAACCGGCGCCACGCGGGCGCCGCGCCAGGACAAGCCACAGCGCGCAAAAGCGGCCATGCAGGCTGCTTGGAGACAGCGTGGCCACGCTGGCCCCCTGAGCCCTGGCCACTCTAGCGGCCCAGACCGCGCAGCGCACATCCCGACGCGCACTCGCACGCACGCGCCAGGGGCCGCCTGTCGCGGCGATCGAACTTCGAGGTCCCTAGACCGCGGCCGGCCAGCCTCGCGCAGGCCCACCGGCCGCCGAGGCCAGTATGAGCGCAACCGGCGGGGCCCCCGCCGCGAACCACCGTCAAGAGGCGCCACGCTGGGCCCCGGATGCGACGCCAACCGGCACTCCCGCACAAGCGGTCCCGCCCGGTCTTCTGCTGCCGGGGGGACGGAGGCCAGGAGCACCCAGAAGGAGCATCGCGACCGCCGCCAACGGACCAGAAGTACCACGCCCCCGCCAGGCAGAGGACGACGACAAGACGGCCCGGCACGCCCGGACAGCCAGCCCCCGCCGGCGGGCCCCAGCAGGCGCAGCGCGCCGCCCGACACCGACCCACAGAGACGCGAGCCCCGGAGCAGATTGAGTGCAGAAGCTCCCCCGCAGGGACTGGCAACTCCCCCCCCCTGGCGGCGGGCGCCGCGGGCGAGCATGGGCTCTGCCCTTGCGTGCCTGCATGCCAGCCAGGCCTCCACTGCTGGCCGCCGCCGTCTCCCTGGACGAGATGGGGTGGGCCGACCTGGTTTCCCTCGTGCAATCCGCTGGGGCCCACTACGGCCCGGCGATCAACCAGCATTGGATCAGCTACTGCACCCACCATCTCACTCCGCACTTGCAGCATGGCGCCGGCGGAACAAAACCCCCAGTTCCGGGGGGGGTTCCTGATAAGGACAGTCAGGTCGGGGACGGTGGGCCCACAGGCATGGGCGGATGGTCGTGGCAGACAACCTGCCGTCAGTTCATGCTCGCGCGCCTGGTCTCCCGGGCTGCGGAGACACGCGCGGCGCAATGGCACGGCTTCACCCCCGCCCTTCCCACAGGCGTCTCCACGACGCCATGCCTTATGCAACCAGAGGTTCTGCTGGGCTTCGTGCACAGTCTAGGGGAGGCTGCGTTCGTGCAATGCGACCTGCTGAGGCTCGGAGCCGTCTGGCCAGTGCACTCCCTGCCCGATGTCCCAGAAACTGTGGTTCCCCCCTTGCCGAACCCAGCGGACGCCGAAGCCATCCTGTCAGACCTGGCCCCCCTTCAGCCGCCGCCCTGCCCCCCCTGGCCGACTGGGCCGTCTCAGGGCCCCGTAAACCCGTGCACGCTAGACCTGGACACCCAACATCCCTCGAGACCAAGTTTTCCAGACGGCGGCACGAACAAAGCACTGCACTGCAACACTTCCAGAATAGACCCTGACACGAGCCCTAAAAGCCTGCAAGATCCCCCCAAACCCGGACACAGACCCGAACCCTGCAACGCAGCACACAAAAAATGCACGGGTGCTGAAAAACTTTCGGGTCGGGCGAAAGGGGGGGATAGCAAAGGGGGGGTTTGAGAATCAGCTCACGTAGCTGATTTTCCCGGCGCCTCCCGGCGCCGGAGGCGGCTATGCATCGAGGAATGGGCCCCTCGGTGTGGCCGAAACCAGCTGCATGCAGCAAATTTCGTACCCCCCCCTTTCCCAATCCCCCCCTTTCGCCTGGCCCGAAACTTGACTTTGCCAGGAAAAGCTGTCGCTTCCTGGCTTTCCCGTGCCCTGGCTTCTCTGTGTCCCCGTCTCCGGTCTCCGGAGGCCTGGCCGTCTCGTCGCTCCGAACTCCG